GAAAGGAGTGACTTTTGTAGAGGAGATTTGAGAAGGATGATTTGAGATTTGGGTGAGTTCGAGTTTGCGTTTGTGATGGGGGATTGGGAAGTTGAGTGAATGAAAGTAGATGAAAATGAGGAAGGGGAAGGGAGCTCAGTGGGACTTTGTTGGATTGGTGGTATATAAAAGGAATGCGATAATCGGCTGGAAATTTGCAGAACATCTATGCAAATCCAAGGCATATGAGCAGGACAGAGCATGTGTGTGAGATTTGGAGTTGAGAAGAACGTGAAAGGGAAGAAGTGAGGGCTTGGGTTTATGAGTGCAGAGACTGGGAGCGAGGAGTAGATGTAGGTGATGATAAAATCTATTTTGAGGATCGATGAAAGGGAGTAGATGAGATGATTATAAAAAGAACAACGAAGATTGGAAAGAAAGACAACAATAATAAACAGTGACAATCAAGAACATGAGAGTAGAAAGGGGTTGCGAATAGGATGATTAACATACTAATCGAAGAATGAGAGAAACCTTGGAATCTAGTATGATGGATTCCCCTTGGGTCGTAGTAAATCCGGCTTGAAATGATTTGAGTATAATCCATACAAGAAGAAGGCTTTATATAGGTAACGGAGAGGTGTAGAAGACTTGGAAAATGATGGAAAGTGTGGAAATCGAGGTCTGTGAATTGGAGTTGCTGGGAGCCCGGTCAAGGAAAGGAATGAGCGGAAGTCTTGATTTCTGGAGTTTGGAGTTCTAGGTATGTGAATGATTGTTGGGCTGTGAGAGTTGAGTATCGTGACTACTTGATTCCAAAAGTGGAAGAACTCAGGGTGATTGTCAAGATTGGAAGAAAGGTTTTGGATATTACGTTATACAAATGGCTGTTCCTCTTGTGGAGGGGGAAAGGTAAGAGGGGTATGGAAATGAGAAATCGCGGATTCAATACTATATTTGGGAATAGAATGATAGTGGGAATATGCACGACAGTAATGAATGATGAGAGTCAATGACAACAGAAATGATAACTACATATTAGTGATACGTGAGAGACGGTCCGAGGAATTGTAAGATAGAAAGAGACAACTGGAAAGTTAGGAAGAGAAAATCCCACTCCAAGATCGGGATGACCCAAGATATTCTGGGTGATAATAGGTCTTTTTGTTCTTGGTGTGAAGAATACAATAGATGGGAATTCAATGGGTTTTATGGTATGGAAGTGAGTGAGTGAGGTGAATGTTTAGCGAGCAAGGTATTGATAGACAGGGGACAAGAGAGAAGGTGGAGTGGGTGTAAAGTCTGTATTTGACTGTTTGAATGAGGGGTAACAAAATTGGAAAGTAGTGGCAATGGGGTATATCAATGGTTTTAAGATAATATGACTGTTCAATATCGACACTTACAAAAGAATAACGATGATGTTTTAGGAGGGTAAATCTTGGAGTGTGAAGGGTAAAGGAAGGGGAGTGCAGCTAGACGTTTGAAAGTTGAACACACTAGTAAGTAAACGAAAAGTTTTATCAATCGAAACAGTTTGGTAAATTGAAAGCAGTATTAAAATCGAGTGTAAGTTTAAAATTTGCTAATATATAATTTGTAAACCCTTTATAATTATACCTTTTCAACCTGCTCCACCCCTCCACCATACTCTGCCTTACCCGATGGTTCTTCATCCAGTTCACCCCGTGGTATCTTGAGTGATAATGATACAACCTTGAGGGTTGAAGGTGCGTCTCGGAACAAATTATTGAGTGTTTCTAAATTCTGATTCATCGTTTCCGGATAGAAGAAATAAACCGAGATAGGAATAAGCGCCGAGATAATCGTGTACATGATATAGTAGCGATATCCTATGGTATCGATGGCCACTGGTGTTACCATAACCACAACGAAGTTCCATAACCAATGGTTCGCAGTCGAAACCGAGTTCATTGCCACGCGAAGTCGGACTGGAGCAATCTCGCTGCAATATAGGAAATTGGCACCCAGGAATCCGATAGGGTAGAAGAAGTTGAATAGGAAAATGAAGAACGCTGAAGCAATAGCGGCACTTTTGTTGGAGGATGGGAAACTAGTGCTGACAGCCAAGGAAAGCATACAAATTGACATTCCGGCGCCACTAATCATGAATACAGCACGGCGTCCCCATCGATCAATGGCGACAAAGGCGATGAAGCAGCAAAGGAATTTCCAGGTAAGGGCGCAAGCAGCCAGGATCTTAGCCAAGCTAACTTCCAGATTGAGATTTTGCTGGAAGATGGTTGATGCGTAGACCGAAATGAGATTACCTCCACACATCTGCTGGACAAATTGTAGGAATATGCATAGAACGAATCGGTAAAGCAACCTCTCCTTATCGTCCTTGGAGAAAAGCTGCATGAGTGATGCACTATTTTCAGTTGCAAATTCAAGCGATGACTCGATCTGAGCAATTTCGAAGCGAATGCGATCATCTTCAACTGAAAGATCCTTGATAACTGACAGATTCTCGGTAGCCTCTTCTGTTCTCCCTACACTAACTAACCATCTAGGAGATTCGGGAAGAAGAAAGACCACACCCATCATAACGAGTGAAAGCGGTAGTGAAATGATTGCCAAGGGTAATCTCCACTGCAAATTCGTGTTTGGAAGGTGGTAAAATGCGAAATCTATCCAGTTACACACAGAATAGCCGAAACACAAGAAAATACCTGCAGTGACAACGTCTTGCCCTCTGTGAGCTGCGGGGGAACATTCTGCTAGCCAAACCGGTATCATAACGCTAATCTCTCCAACTCCCATGCCTAAGACGAGTCGACCGATAACGAAGTGAATTAAGTTATAGGCCGATACTTGGAGAATTTGGCCAATGAGAGTCAAGAAAGCAGCAAGAAAGATTGTCCTCCGTCTACCTAGAAGATCTCCTAAAAATATGCATGATAATGCACCCATTAAAGATCCGATTTGGAAAGACGCAATGACGGCACCGCTGTTGATTGAATTGTGTGATTTGAGTGGTCCGGTCGTGTTGATTGTGTCCAGTGATGGGAATTGATGTGCCCAACTATGAAGTGTCGCTAAGGGGCCAAGACCAGCTTGGTTGTAACCAAACAATGTGAAGCCTGGTCCGACGATAAACGCAATCTGGGCAATTCTTAGGGCTCTGCCGCGCAGTCCCATACAAGAGTTTTTAGAAGACATGACGGGTAAGACGAGGTGGCCAAGACAGATAGTAAGATCTGAATGAGAGAGAAGCTTAAGAGGTCAAACGAAAAAAGAAGGCCAAGACAGGATCCTTTTATTCCTGGGGAAGCAACGATTCTTCGTACAACAAATCCGGGGAGTACATTATCTTGTGGAGTCTCCATAACCATCTCCAGAATTTACTTGACATGGTACCATCAATTCTGTGGGCTCTCGTGTTTGGAAAAGTAACTTTCTCCGCATTTTTATGTTCGACCCTTGATAACTAAATCCCTGTTTCGGCTAATCATAAACCCAGCCAGCAACCAAGGGGGCAATTTTCGTTATCATAGGTATAGAGTATTAGATGCCAAAAGCGATGAATAAAGAGGAATGCTAAGATTTGAGGGCTCTGGATAGCTAAGTTGAGAACATCATCTCCAGAAGATTTGATCGTACAAGCAAAGTCGAAGTGATTTGCTCCACAAGCGACGGTCGCTAGACCTGCCAAAAATCTTGTCTTTCTAGCTGCATAACATTGGTCCCAGTAATAACGGATAAGAATATTTCCTCGTAAATCAGAACCTCTGTCTCCTAAAAAGGAGTTTGCGTCATATTCTTGGGCGTGTTAATGGCGGAGATTTACAATTCCGCCGCTCCGACCAACGCACAAATTGATTTGCGGATGCCCCCACCCCAAGCGAGCTGTTCGTCTCAATTTGGAAGAACCAAACCAAGAATCCCAATGCTTTGGAAACAGTTGCATATGAGTTCTCCTTGTTGAAAAATCGGCAAATAGAGATAGATCATAGATGTTGATCTATTAGCCTTCATGCCTCACTTGACCGCATTACTGGCGTCAACCACTTTACGTTGCAAATTCTTTCAAGATAGGGTATCCCAGACATAGGGCGGACTTCCGAATATACCCGTAATATTGTCTGATATTGATTTGCCCTTAGAGAAATGCATGAATCAAAGGTTGGTGCACTTATTGAGGCTTGTATCAATGACGAGCTCCAAGCACGCATTTATCCCGCCCCAAGATCTCTCCATTGACTGCATGGCTCGTGGTTCAAGCAAAGTTGCCGCGGGATACATCGATCAGAGCCAAACTTTAATGTGCTAGTTACTCAACAGTTCATAACTACCCACTATTCAATCGGGTGTTTTCGTCTCCTCTTGCCTTCTATTTATGCAAATTTGACCACGTATCCTCGCTATGTGGTAATTGTCGTATCAACCAGGATTACTACGAAAATTGATGTATTACGAAAGTTGATGTTGTTAGTGATCACCTGAAGGGTAGCAAGAGTGTAACAGGGATTGCCATTCTGTACCAGTTGGTGACTGTTGGTGACGTTGAACAGATGGATCCTTAGCCTGACTGGCTAACAGCTATCCCGATTACTAGCCGAATAGCAGCCGACTCCCGACAATTGATATCTTTCCTTTCTCCAACTATGAGCTCTGCTACTGCCAATCGATTTGAAATTTTTATTTACCCGTACACATTCCCAGGAATCCTTTCAAAGAGAGTAAGAAAAATGTCCTAATTATTCATAGCTAAGAAGAAGAGCGGATATCTCCATGTCTCATCACAGCTTCTTCTGGGGGTGGGTCTATGACTATTGTTATTACTAATGGCGGGGTACTGGCCCCCTCCACAGTTTTATGCGGTGGGTCTGAAGACATACAGCCATCACCTTGGAATTTAACCCAACCTCTTGCATTTTATTTGAAACGTATTTTCTCGCTATGGAACTATCATCACTCAAATCGAATTACGAGAGCCAATATATTCTATAGACTAACTTGGTTTCAATTCCCACTTTAAATATATTACTCTCGAATCTCTATCCGCTTACGAGATCTTGACTACTCATAAAAACTAGCATATCTAGAAGCCTACAGCAGTAAGCCCATTCATTATCATACCACGCAATAATCTTGAAGAACTTGAAGAAGTCAGCTAAGAGTTTTTGCTGGGAGTGTACAAGTTACTTACATTGGGGTTAAGTTCAACTGAAGCCTTTGAATCAATGATTGCACTACACGAGTTGCCGAGAAAGTCTAAGCTCACTAACTCCTCGTCTTCAACCTGGAGAACACCAGATAGCTCCTGTTGAGCCGAAGTGCGGAACTTGATCATTATTTCCTCGAGAGATGTTGACTGTACGGTTTCGACAGTCAAGTCCACCATAGATACATTTGCTGTTGGCACCCGAACTGAAATACCAGAGACTTTACCGGCCAGCTCGGGCAACACAGTTTTTATAGCTTTCGCTGCACCAGTAGTGGTTGGAATGATATTTCCAATTATCGAGCGCCCTGAGCGCCTATCCTTTGTGCTATATCCATCTAGAACATGTTGAGAATGCGTCGAGGCATGTACGGTGGTCATGAAAGCGTGTTGAATTCCAAAAGAATGCTGAAGGACTTTGGCGATGGGAGCCAAACAATTTGTAGTACAGCTAGCGCAAGAATAGACTATGTTTTCCTTGCAGAGTCGCAAGTAGTTATTTGAGTTGACTTTATAGACTATATTTGGCGCATCCGGGCTTGGAGCTGATATCAAAACTTTTTTCGCACCCCCTGTGGTGACATGTTTGCTCGCGAGAGCAGTTGACCGAAACTTGCCAGTGCATTCGGCAACGTAGTCTACTCTATGTTTCGCCCAGTCCAATTTTTCCAAGTTGCGCTCAGACATGAGTGCAATTTGCTGGCCATCAATCGCAATGCTTCCATTAGGTAGGATATCGATTTGCGTTTTGTGGCCCATCAACTTGTCAAGAGCGCCGTGTGTCGAGTCATGCATGAGCAAATGAATAACGTCTTCAATCGAAGAGCAAGTGTGGTTGATAGCTACAACGGAGACATCGTTCCTAAGCAATGATGCTCGCAACAAGTTCCGACCTTGAAGCTTGATATCTCAGTACTTGCAGTCTAGTGTAATTGTTAAAGTTTTATTGACTCACCTATCCGCCCAAAACCATTGATACCTATGCGAGCATGATCTGCTGACTGCGAAATGTTCTCTTGGGCAATGTTTTGCGCTCCGAACGCTGAAGTGAAGGGAGGCATAGGTGTGGACGCAGACAAATACACGTGAATTTCGGTATGTTTATGAATTCGATGTTTGGACAAGACTGAATAGCTTCACTCATTAGTAATGACTGTATATACCTTTGATAGCTGCAAATTCAAAGTGAAATCGGACCCCTTAAGCTTTAGGCGACTGACTGATCAGCTGGAGCCTTAATTGTCCGCCCGGTTGAGATCCCGGATTCTGTGGAACGCTTCTCAAGCCACCGGGAAAAGAAAAGTGCGCATAGTTCTACCACGGATTGCATTTGTCCGTTGTGAATTCTACTAAAGCACAATAACACATTTCCATTGTTTTTATGTTTGAGTGGCATTATGTACAACTCACACAACGGAAATAAACGGCTTCATTTGAAACAGGAATAAAACGATGAAGCACTGTCTGAGATCTTTTTGTATTGCTTATCAGTCTTCTAACTTTGAGCTAGAAATATGTTTTATGATGCGCTCTTGCAAAGGATTCTGCAACGGTTATGGTCTCACCAATATTGTGCATTTGTGAATTCCTCTGCCAGCTTGAAGAATCGGGGATGTCGCTCTCGAATTGGAGCTGAGGGTCCACAGGGCTCTTTTGCAATTCGACTGAGTTCGGGGGCCTTGGTAGACTAGCAACTGTACTAGCCATAGTCTCCCGAGTGAGTGAATCTGTACCATCTGGAATATTTCTATGTCTTTCATTTGTAGGCTCCCAGTCAACAGATGGGATGTCATCGATTCCATGAGCAATATGTGTCTCGGGAGTTGAGGTCTCTTCCGGTGGACCCCACTCCCTATCGAGTGGCTCGACATATTTCGTTTTCCGAGACCACCATGTTTCCAGATCAATGTCTGACCCTAGAGGTAATTCTTGCCACTGCTCCATCAATTCACCCTTGGAGGCTTGCGGAAATTCTCGACTTTCTTGGAATCTGGCATCAGAATGATTGTATAGTCTCGATAGTGCTCTGTGTAGAGCGATCTCAGTCTCATTCAGGCGGAGTTCAATTCCCGCAAGGTAGCCGGGGGGTAAACCTCTTAATAGTAACTTAGTAAGCCATAACTTGATATGTACAGGATATGCACTTGGTACCTTTTATTCGCTTCGGAGTAATAGCATTGTTGTGGGGCTCCCTGGCATTTGGAGCATGACGGGCTGTGATTCGTCAGGGGTTTCTCTCAGGAATATCATCGATGAACATGACATACAGTGTTCTATCACACTAGCGATAAGTATAAGCAAACGAAACAGGCTTGAATTGGGAATACACTTGCCTTACATTTTCTCTGGCGACAGGGCTCACATGCTAACCTAGCTACGGGCTGTGACATTCTGGGTGAAATTTCAACAATTTGCGGGAAATGAAATCGAGTGGGAGGATGCATCAAGTTTAATGTCAAGGAAATCTGCAACAGCGGAGTAATTTTGTCCGGATCAACGCATAACGAGATTGTTACTCAAAACAAGGGCGGTGAGATAGCTTAGCGCAGGTATTTCTGTAGATCATCACGTGAACATGCATACCCCAAATACCAAGACATTCTCTTATCTCCACTTGAAACATTCCCGCTTGTATGATTGTCCAACAAAATACTTCAAGCCGCGAAAAACCCTTCTACAGCTTCTCCACCTCCACCACTCTCCTGATAGAACTCAATCCTCAGCTGAGATTCGACACCCTCGACCTACATACTTCATATCTATGAATTTCACAAGATGACGCTTTGACGTGTCTTTCGTAATCGTCATGATTCCAACATCGAATGCTACCAATCTGGGCCCACACTCTCCAAACAATGACAGTCATCGCTCCAAACGTAGAAGAGTCGATGATGAAAATAGCCCTGTACGAGAAGTTGGTTTAATGAGAACAGGCTTTGATCAGAGCAAGCCCAGATTTATTGGTAGTGGAAGTGGAATTCATTTCATTCGGACAGTTTATGAGCTTCTTGCAGGGAAATCGAACTCGACACACACAAATTCTAATACAGCTACTCCTGCTTCGGAAAACATTGTGCCGGGCGAGGATGACCAATTGTCAGAATCTACCAATAACTCTCATCTCCTTGCCTCTTCCCCTCCATTCTTCCGGGAAAATGAAGTTGGCGAAAGTTCCCAATTAAGCTCTGATCCCATCTCCTTCCATCAGCTCGTAGAATTTTCGGAAAGCTATTTTACCAATTGGCACCCTCTCTTCCCATTCCTACACGCTCCAGCAGTGCTAGGGATCTTTGAGGCAATCAGTCGACATGGAATTCAAGCAGTTGCACCTTCCGACGCCTTGATTGTGCGATCGATTATATCAATCGTAAGCAAGTCGAATATTCCCTTGCTCTGCAGTTTCACCATGAGACGGTCCTAATTCTTGATTCAGTCACTCGCCGACAATCGCCAATCTACTAAGCGTCTTTCCAGAGTTCCTCGTCATCTCATTTTTTATAACAACGCAGAACTGGGCTCTACCTTCCAGTTTACTATGGCTCTTCCAGCAACTTTTGAGAATCTCCAAGCTACCATTTCTCTTGAGCTCTTTTTGATTTCTATGATGAAATTCAACTATGCCAGTCGACTAGGTGGACTAGCTGTTCGGTAAGTACCTCGCCCTTTGCCTTACTACACCGACATTAACAGGAGAGAAGTATGGCCTATGCTCTTGGTTGCCATCGATGTCCTGCCCGGTTTGACGGATTTACTCCTACAGAATCTCAACTGAGACGACGAGTGTTTTGGTCGCTCTACTGTATGGAGCGGATGGTTTCGCAGTCACTTGGCCTTCCATTAGATCTTCGAGATGATGATATAGACGTCTGTTATCCAGGCGAGGAGAAACACATGCGAAGTGGGAGCGATACACTGAACTCGGAAGAGTCTAATGGTCTGTTTGTCCTATGAACTGTCGGAATGATCTAGTGACTGATCAAAGTAATAGTGCATCAATTGCGTCTTCTAAGAGACCTTTCAAAACATGCTCGAATTCGTGGCCGTGTTTTGGAGCTCCGCAACAAATCTTTGTCCGGTCGTGAGGAAACCTTTGAACGTGCTATGGGAATGCAAGCTGAGCTAGCGAAATGGGCGAATGAAGTTAGCGAAGAAGATGAAGATTCTCCAGAAGCTGAGAACAGCCCGTCTCTGTCACCAGCGCATAAATTGATTATTCAAATCCTGCAGCATGAGTCAACCATAGCTTTAAATCGGCCGTTAATCACTTCCAATTCGATCAACACTTACTCTCAATCTGCACTTCAAAACTGCATCAGCGCATCAAGAGCAATCATTTCTCTCTTGAGGGAATTTCAACGCAATAATGCATCGCCAGATGGGTCGCTGGCTCTGAAAGTCCCAATGGTTTGGCCACTTTTTACGTGGTCTGCATGGATGAGCTGTTTCGTACTTGCCTATGCCGCTTTAGAAGGGCATTGCAAACTTGGACCGGCAAAAAAGTTTGTCGCCATTCTCCTTCCTTCTCGGCAATACATGACACTAACATTATCAGATATGCTAAAGAAACATTGGTAATTCTAGAACACCTCTCATTACGCCAAACAGTATGGCCAGACTCATGCGCCGATGCCGTTAAGCAACTTAGTCACGCGCTTGATAGAAGCCATCAAGCTTCAACAGTAATCGTTAGATCCAATCGGCCGAACCAAGCAACTTTCATTTCAAATCCACAGCACGCAGCTGAGCCACAACATAGGAACGAAGCATCAACTCAATCTAGTAATCGCACATTCACCCTTGACGAAGCTTATTATGATAGTCATTCGATCCGTACAGACATCAGTAGACCTCACAATAGTAGTAGTGAGTCCCAAAGGCGTATACCGCAAAGTTCAATTTCATTTCCACGCCCATTCAGTGTGCAGCAAACCTCAAATTGCTCACAAGCAGCTACTTCAGAAAGAAATCCGGAAAATGAATGGGATCAGCTGGAGCTCTATCAAGGAGGATTGTTCGATCCACTCATTGCGATGGACTTTTCAAATTTTGCTACGAGAACCACAGATCCGACCACATCTTTTGGAATGCGTTGACTAACAACCCAGATAGTCTATTGAAGTATCCTAGAGTACAAAAAACATTGTTACAACTGAAACTAAAGGTGATAAAACATCATGAAGTGGCACGATGTTTAAACAGAATTCTTTCCCTTGAAAAATTTCTGTATCTCGGCACAAACTGCATCGGTCACCTCTGCCGTCTTTGCATTTCCTCCAAGATCCTTAGTTACGATTCCCTGAGGTTGTTAGTATCTTTACAAGCTATTTAGATGACATACGACCTACCTGTTCGCACACCTTTTCGACACACTCTAGAAGAACTTGACTCGCTTCTTCCTCGCCGAGCCATTTCAGCATCTCCGCAGCAGTCCAGAATGTTGCGACAGGGTTTGAGATACCCATTCCAGTGATGTCAAATGCAGAGCCATGAATAGGCTCAAACATACTAGGATTCTTCCTACTGGGATCCAAATTCGATGTTGGGGCAATACCGATAGAGCCTGCAAGAGCAGCGGCAAGATCAGAAAGAATATCAGCGTGCTACAAACTATCAGTTCAATGATTCCAAAACTTCAAGGCTCTCCTGGCCATGATACTACTCACCAAGTTCGTTGCGACAATTGTATCCAAAGACTCTGGTTTTAATACCATCCTGCAGGTCATTGCATCTACAAGCATAAAGTCCATGTTTACATCTGGGAAGTCTTTCGCAACTTCTTTCGCCACCTCATCCCAAAGAACCATGCCATTACGTTGTGCGTTGCTCTTAGTTACCACCGTCAGCATCTTTCGTGGTCGTTGCTGCGCAGTTTCGTATGCAAAACGAAGAATTCTATCAACAGCGTGTCTAGTGAAGATTGCTACTTCAGTCGCAGTCTCCCATGCTTCACCCCGATGCGAACGACCGCCTTGTCCAGCGTATTCACCTTCACTGTTTTCACGAACGATAACCCAATCTAGGAGCTTGCAGTCCCGAAGTGGAGACTTGGTTCCACGAAAAACTTTAGTTGGCCTAACATTTGCATATTGTTGAAAAGGTTGACAGATGGCTAATCTGAGACCCCAGAGTGAGATGTGATCGGGAACATCTGATGGTGGTTAGTACTAGTTTCTCAATTCTGGCATCCTGTATTCTTTACCTGGAGCACCAACTGCACCAAAGAGAATGGCATCATGCTTCCTTAACTCTTTAAGGCCACCTTCGGGAATATATTTTCCTGTCGTCTTATAGGTTTCCGAGCTCCAATCAAAGTGTGTGAAATTAAGTTTGAATGTTCCCATTGTCGTTGCGAGAGCATTGAGAGCTTTAATACCTGCATCGATGACTTCAGGTCCGATCCCATCAGCTGGAATGGACGCGATGCTATATTCCTTTGACGAATTGATAGTAGATAGAGACATTTTAGCTATACTGTAAGAATAATGGGCCACTGAAAATGTAATTGTGTTAAATCGAAAGATAAAGTTGATCCGATTTGAGGTATACTGTATTCATTGAGGAATGAATGACTTGATAAGAGACTTGACGCAGAGGAGAATCGAGAGTAAGGAAGAAGATTGTAGGGATGATATCAATAGCCGATCCTAGTCACTTGCAAGGATATCGGCGAAAGACAACTCCGAACCCCATGCTAATTGCAGATGTCGTGCGCAAAGTCATCGGGGAAAGGAAACCCCGTTGTACTCTTGACGTACGTACCTCGTGAAAGATATGGTTTTGTGACAGAGACTGTTGCCGAATGGTCCAACAAATATTTGCACTTAAGTCAAGTAAGTAGTCTATAGGCATAACCCAAGTTATTCAAAGGACCGCTCTTGATTGCCCTTGCTGGTACCATGACAATTCCAAACAATGTCATTCAGGAAATCTTGAGTTTTGTTGTCCCTCGAGTTCAAACTCATCATGAGAAATGGCAGCATCAGCAAACAGAATTCAACAGGCCATTTCTCCTTGCCTTGTCTGGCTTGCAAGGTAGTGGCAAATCAACTTATGCCAGTCAGCTTGCATTAGCCTTGGAACACGAACACCAGTTTAGGGTCATTGTTTGTTCCCTCGACGACTTTTATCATGATCACGAGACTTTGGTGAAGATCAAAAATCGAAATCGGGACAACGGACTACTACAAGTACGAGGACAACCAGGAACACACGATGAAGAACTTGTGAGCAAGTTCTTTCAGTCACTCACTGCTGATATCATCAAGATTCCGGCATTTGATAAAAGCAGATTCCAGGGTGAAGGGGATCGAGTTCCAGAGGAGGAAGACTGGAAGGTTTTTATTCCAAGTAAAGAAAACACATTGGATATCGTTATCTTCGAAGGATGGTGTGTAGGATTCAAGTCATTAGAAAGAGATGAGCTCGAGCGAAAATGGGAAAGCGCGGAAAAAGAGCTTCAGACAACGAGGTTGGGTGAAGATGCGACATTTCCAATAAACACACTTCAAAACTACCCCCTCTGTCATCTCGAGATGATCAATGACAACCTTCGTCGGTATAATACAACGTTCATGAACTCAGCAAACTTCGACTCTTTGATTCATCTCGATACAGAGGAGCTTGTCAACGTTTACAGGTGGAGAATAGAGCAAGAGCACAACCTGTGGAAAGTAAAAGGCACTGGTATGACCGATGCAAGTGTTGTTCAGTTCGTTCAAGGTTATATGCCTGCTTACGAATTATATTTGGAGGAGTTACAAAGAAAGCCATTTATTCCACGAGAGAGCGAAACCGCCTCAAGTACACAGTTACGCCTAGTTTTAGATAGAGATAGAGGTGTTCTAAAGTTTCAAGAATTATGATTGAATTTATCTCTTCTTATTGTATCCAATTCTTCTATTGAAATTTTTTTATGATTGTATTGTTATATACTGAAGCTGTAGAATAGTACTAGAACATATACTACTTTACTTCGTAGGCAACAAGTCAGTCCATGGGACAGACAGCATATCTAACAATTTCTCTTTCTTCGCAGTTCTGACCTGCATTCGTGAGAAAAACGACTTGCTCAATCAGCGATGCTATTCTACTGAGGTTCAAGCTGGGAAACACGCTACCCTGGGAGCTGAAGAAGTAAGCGGTCGCAAAACCGGATTCCAAGATTTCTTGAATCCGATTGGAAAACGCCTAGTCATTAGAAAAGCTTGCTATTCCAAAACTAGATCTGGAGGCAACAAATGTTCGCAAGATGTTGAAATTTTACCCTCCACCTCGAACACTAGTGTCAATCAGGTAGACTTGGAAAAAGGTGTCCTTGAGGTCAAACATCTTACCATCAGTAACCAAGGCATGATTTGTACTGGCTGCGAAAAACCCCTCCCCAAAGCTCTGACTTCAATGCCAGCGGTTTCTAATGTCAAAGCCAGCCTTGTTTTGAGTCGAGCAGAATTCGACATTCGTGCAAGTTCAGCCGATATCAACGTCGCCGAAACTATCAAGTCTCTTAAAAAAACGACTGGATTTACTTGCTCGAAGATGACATTGTCTGGACATGAGCTTGACCTTATCGTGGAAGACCCTACAGTCTTCATAGGTAAAAAAGGCCTAGCATTTGGAATTTTGGGTAATACTCTACACGATTCTCGCACTGTTCGAGTTACCTATCACCCAGAGGCTCTTGGCGCAAGAGATTTGATGAGCGGTCCATTTTTTGAATTGGCCAAGCTAGCCCCCATGGTAGACCTTCCTCTCATCACACCTGGTAGAGCACATCTTCGCTTGATGCTCTTCAAGACGCTGAATATTCCTGTGCTTATCATGGCATGGCTCGAGCGCCATGATATCCAACACATATCCTTAACACAAGAGTCCTTTTCACTGCACTGGAGATAGCTAGCTTAGTAGTTTAGAATTGAGCCAGTAACTAAGTTATTGCTGTTATCTATCTAACACATATAACACCCATCCCTACGTAGCGGAAAACCCTACGTATCTGGAAAGATAATAGATATATTGACTTGGAACAACTTAAAATCTATACATACCTTAACATCTCATATTTTTTTAGAGGTTAATATTCCATAACCACTCCCCCACATCCTAAACGCCTTCTACTAGAAAATTACATTCATATCATATATCTCACCCCTAATTTATGGAAAATCCTCCTTTTATAGTACAACAGAGTTCCGTATACGACAAGCTTAGGTTTTTCACCATGAGGATTGCCCTCCCAGCGAGAGAAACCCAACCTGGCCAGACTAGATTGGAATACGATTCTCTGGAGAAGGTTTTATATGCACCACGTAACCCACGAAAGGCTTCTCATAACAGGCGTCGTAGGAGACCAGAGCCCAACTGGACCGCATCGCAAGCGACAATGACGAAGCTAACATATATGTACGGATATCCAGCGTGATGTCTGAAAGCATACAGCTACGAGAGTTTGACTCAGACGACGATATCGGAATAGACCAATCCTATATTCATCGACAGTCGGATGAGCAGTTTCAACACGAGGAAGCCGAGAATCCTTGGGTAGTACATGAGATAGCATGCTCACAAGATCGCAGAGAGTTGGGTAAGGCGGTATCGACTTACATCCCATACTTAAACGTGAATATCAAGGTAGTCGTGGGGTTTAATTTGAGGTACGGCAAGAGCAAAGAAGCCCGAATATCGATGTGACAGCCGTGCTACTTGAAAGAAGGCGAGGAAGGCGTCGAAATTCTGCATGTTGAAGCAGTAATTAATCGTGATGTACGTACTGAATCCGTGCAGTGAAACCGGACTAAAATCTGTGGCTTTTCCGATCATCAGATGAATTTGCCACCAATACCACCAAGACTCTGCGTTTTCCCCTCGACTGCTTAGCTACGTCTGAGGTGACAAATTTCCAAAGTGAAGGCTACCGGGAATTACCATCACATATGCAAAGCTTGCTGAGTTTTTGGATAAAACGGAGAGACTCCAATGGATAAGACAACCAACATTAGGAGAGCGAAGCATGAGAAAGAAATCGACACGGCACACCAAGAAAAGGAGGCGTCCATCTACTCCAAAAGGAAAACTTTCTTATGACAGAGAGGGAGTTTCGCGACGCAGAAAGTAAGGTGGAAGGGCGCGCAGTGGTCGAGGACAGCAATTTTCAACATTAGACTAGGGGGCGGTGCAGGTATACCGGAGAGGAGACAGAGCCGCCGGATGAGGTAGATTCCAAGTTATTAAGACCCAACGTACTGCTAAAGAGATTATTCGAGATTTTTAGGACTGTCTGCATGAGTTGAAGTGACAGTCTTTTCTACCCTACTCAGCAAGCCGTCTTCCACGATGTTACTGTAATGGATGAAGCGACTGTACAAAATAAAGTGGTGACGTTAGTATGCAATAGGAGCAAGATAATAAATCAGGCAGGAATAGAATCGATTCAATTTTATCATTGCCACTCCTAGGGACGTAGCCTTGTTCCTCGACAAATCGGTCGTAACAACGCAGACTGTATCCAACATGTCTTTATCAACTTTCAGAGCCTCCGCGATCTCGAACCGGGCAATGTCGCCCTTGAGGGTAGTAGCAGCATCCTCGCATATATCCAGAGCGGCTGCGCCAGCTTGAGCAAGCTGTCCTTACATGGCACAAATGCCATGGAGTTTAAGCTCGATGCACTAGACTGCCCTAAGATCATTATTATAGTGTTAAAGCTGCTGAATATTCACTTCAGAAGCATTTCCACTCTACACAAGGCCATTGTCGAGATGTATGAGGATGGTCTGAGCGGTCATATAAGAAGGGGAATAGAGTCATAAATGGACAACCAATTAAATGTTCGACACCTTCGAACATAATTGGGCCTATGATGATGATGATGATATTATTTGTGTTATATATCAACAATGGTAGTGATAGTGACTTTTGGAGAAGAGCGGAGGCTTGGATACTTCTAGATACACGTGAAGACTACACGCTGATAGATGGGAAGTGGCGATTCATATCTTCCATTGTGCCGAGAATATGAAGAAACCTAACTCTCATGACGGCAACGGCCTTCCGGCCATAAAAGTCTCGAAACATACGATGCCAAATCAAAATACAGTGAATTCTCTCTCACCATCCTCTTGAATCGTATATACGAGCGATGCTCGAAAGAATAGAAGGTTCAAAGCCAAAATATCTTACTGCATCTGAAGAGAAAGCCCTCGAAAAGTTTTTGAAACGAATATTAGCCTGCTATATTTACTTTTGATATTGCAGATCTTCCCAATCACATTCCTTTGCCCAATGCCATTCTGATCCGCAATTAAAACAGCGATTAGATTTCATCCTCCGGTCACGAGCTTTGAAGACTGTGTCCAAGCTTGCAAAGCAGTCGTCGAGTCGATGACAGTTATCGCATCTAAAGCACTTGAGTCCTGAGCTCCCTCTGAAAGTGCCGGAGTTCCCAAAGCCAGTTAAGCGGCGCCCTATCCCAAGCCAGGGTACGTTCTCTTGCCCGACGTTCCGTCGACCGGCAAATCTTGGATCGGGAACAAATAGTTTTCTAAGTTTTAGTTAGTTTCGACGCTGGGTGTGAAAAGGTTATAGAACTCATACTCCCTAACTGTTTTGTCGAACTCTTCTTGAAGCCGCCGTAAGGCATTATGTTTTCCTTCTCCATAGATAGGCGGTAGATATACCTTGAGAATCCCGAACAATGAGTATGCTTTATCTTCTTCGCGAAAGGTCACACGACTTTCCGCCCACGACATTCTCTCAGCAAAGCTGAAATCGGACAACTCGCTCCCTCGAAGGACATTAATTGGGACCCCTGTTATCTCGCAGATGCATCGTTCTAGGGAGATCTTGTCGCCGAGTATCTCCCCTTCATTTGAGAAGAATTCGACTGATCCCGGCGCAATCAGCTCTTGCAGGGTCCAACCTCGTGTGAACCATTCGCTCTTCCGAAATGTCGGTTCCCATACTCTAATGGAATCTTCGGTCGAATAAGAGCAAGGTCGCGGAACATCTGATAGATAAACATAGCACCTGGTTGCATTCTTATACCAGCGAAACATTGAGTTGATAGCTTCTGCGAGCTCGGTACTGTTCGATCTATTGATACAACAGGTATCTACCCAAAAGTACTGCAAACCATTGCGCCTCGCTTGTTCTCCACAGAACTTTATCTTACTATAGCCAGCCTTACTCTTGCTCGTACCGTCGAGCAGATCCTCAAAGGTAACCTCCTCCGTTCCCCACCTATGCGAAAGTATAGCATACTCGGGTATCTCGCTCTCAAAGAATTCGGGCCAGCTGAGATGGCCGTCACTGTTATAATGTAGCAGACGCATTATTCGATCAGGTTCGGACACGGCAAGAGAGAGGGTTTTCGGTCGTTATAGAGCCGTCGAGTTGGCATAGACGCGAAGTGAGGTGAAGATTTGGGGAGAAATGCTGGGTTGAGGTAGGCGCACTCAGCTGAGCACAGCCTCGCAGCGCCAGCATCATCGTGCATCACTGTAAGCTAGCAAGACCTTCCAATCGCTCGGGCTCACTGCAGAATTTCAAAAGTCATAGCTGACATATGATATTTGAAGTGTACGCTCGGTGAAGCTATGGTTTGGTATTGTCGCTGAGGGGAAAGCTGAAGGAACAGGAAAGCAGATGATAGGAACCTGAGCAAGGGGTAATAGCTATAGCAGCTTTTGAAATTCTTAGCAGAATGATCGACAGCATAGCCAAATTGTAGTATTTTTTTACTTGCAAGTCGAGCCCTTATAGAGAAACAGCTAAAGAACAATAGCAAACTGATTATAAATTTTATGTTTACATGGTGGATAGATATCAAGACCCCCAGACCATGAAATCTTTCCGGCACGTAGGGATGGGCTAATTATGGCCCGGTTCTCTATATGATCCGATCCACCGCAAGTTACGTTATCACAATTGGATCTTTTTTACATGGAATTTCCTAAGTCAATTCTTACAGTTGGGGTCGCTGGAAGGAAACCATATATTCAATTCTATGAAATGGCTCAAATTATTTCAAACACAAAAGAAAATATCAGTACAACATAGTTTAACACTGAGTGGGCGGGCGACTTCAAAATACATACAAAATTCGTCCGTACATAATACCAAGGCCGATATGAACCATTTTGTCAATACACTAAAAATAGAATTCTGCCTGATGCCAAAAAAAATTCTAAAATTTGTATAATATACTCATAAAAATCTTAAAGAAAATGTTTATATAATTCAATCCGTATATAATTCTATATTATTTAAAATTAGTATAACTTATAATTTTAAATCAATTCATAAAAAGAAAAGAAAAGCTATTTTATTATTAATTAACATTTCAGAAATCAATTAATATAAATTTCAAGATTTTTTTAATGAAAATTAGATTTAATATTGTCACGGAAATCACTGTAGTACGCTAAGACTAGCACACCTGTATACATAGATACATATATAATCTCTTTATAATATAAATAAGAACTTCATCCTTTTTTTATATTATTTATATATTAATTAATAATAAATCCATAATAACCATTTATTTGAAATATATATTTATATTAAAATATAATTATATCTTTAAAAATAAATTTATATATATTTATTATAATTATTAATAATCTTAAGATATATATTTTTTTTTTCAAAAGATTTATATATACTATAATTTGTGGCTAATTCCTGTTTTTACTTTTTTATAATAGATATTTCAGAAAAAATTATTTAAATAATATAATTACTTTATTTAGTTTATATTATTAATTATAAGTTTATAAATAAAATCTTCTCAAATATTCTTAATATAATTAATTAATTATTAATTAAATATTCAATATAATAGAACAATATAATTAGATTCTGAAGTATATATTTAAGATCTTTCAGTAATCCTTTTATTATTCTATTTAAATAGAATTCTAAATTATTTTTTCTTATTATACTCTAATAATTCAAAATAGTAATAAATACTACTAATAATATAATATTAAATCTATTTTAAAAATCAAAATCTTTTTATTAATCAGATTTTGTTTACCCAAATTAATTAGATTCTATTTATTCAAATCAATTAGATTCTATTTACTTAAATTAATTAGAATTTGGTAATCTATATAATTTAATTTCTTATAACAAAACCACCAAAGAAATCTTTTATATATATCTAATTTCTAGTATCTTTTTATTTCAAGATATACGGAGAATATTGAATGATTAAAAAAAGGGATAAGAAGTTCTGTTTTTATTATTATTATTTTCTTTATTCTTTTTAAATCTAATAAAGTAAATACAGGTGATAATATTAGAAATGCTTAATATGAGATTATAGGTGAAAAAAAATAAAAAAAATTAAAATAACGTGACTTAACTAGAAGTGGGTTATGTTATAATATAGATCACAAAAATCATATTTTTCTATTTGATCTTATCCTATATATTATAGGGTGATCTATAATTATCATTAATTTAATTAAATTATTATTATTCTTTTCTTTTTTTATTTCTTTTTCTATTTAATTAATTTAATATTTAAATAGTTTATTACATTATTGTTTAAATAAAAATATTTATTTAATCTTCTTAATAATTTTTAATACTTTTTTAATACTAAATACAAATTCATTTTTTAATTTTATTTTCTTTTTATTTTTTGATTTCTTTTATCTTTTAAATAACTCTTTATATTTTTGAAATTCCTTTCGAAAAATAGTATTTTTAATATTTAAATTTTCAATCTGATAGATAATTTGTTTTATGTATTTTTGTATTAAAGAAATAAATAGATTATTAATAGATAAAGCTAAATTGAATATTTTATTTACTTATTGTAGTTTAATATCATTTAGGGAAAAATTATTAAATAAAGAAAGATTTAGATCTTTTAGATTTGCTAATATATTTAGAATAAAAGATAATAATAAAAATAGAATTGAAAGATTCTTTAGAATTTGATAAGAATTAAATAAATTTAAATCTGCTTTTTTCTATCCGTTTTTGATATTTTAATAAATAAAACCTTTTCCTCTTATTTTTTGAAAAAGCTATATCTAATCAGATTATTATATTTATTGTATTCCTATTTAAGAATATCAATTAATCTTTTAGATATAATATTGCTTTATTGATTTATATACTCTAATATCTAATAACTAAAGTAAATATAAATAATAAGATAATAGAATTAAAAAATCAATCTTCTTTTTAATATAGAAAGTAATCAAACTTTTTATAATATAATTAGAATAACTATTTATAATCAATAATCAAAATTGATCTCCTAATATTTTTCGAGATTCTAATTCAAAAACCTTATATATCTATTTAAAGCTATAATTATTAAAAGTCCATTTATTATTATTTATTAAGAAATATCAATTTAAAGAAATATTAGTTGAAATCCATATAGTATTAGTATTCTAAGCCTTGAAAATGATTATAGAGAGTAAAGAGTCTTCATTTATATTAATATATTCTAATATAGTTATTTACTTTTGCTTTCCTATTATAATCTTTTAATTCAATTTGAGAATAGAATTCATAATTATATATATTAATTTCGTTTCTTCAATTATATATTCTATCTTATTTATATTATATATATTCTTGAATTTATAATATTATTCTTCAATTTATATTTGAAATATTAAATACTATACTGAAATTATTTCAAATATAGTTTTTTTATATCTTACAAATTCTAATTTATAAGTGTCAGAAGTAGACAGCAAGTTGCACATGGTAAGTGATATGTTAAATATATATATATCCGGGAAGTCTGGGAGAGGAGTTTTATAGTGGTGTGCACGTGCCACACACGTGCTACACATGTGATTTCCAACAATAAGAATAAATTCTCTTAAATTTAGAATATTAATTTAAGAATCTATAGATTTATTATTAATCTATATAATTTGATTAAAAGGATAAAGGAATAGATAATAATACAAAAATGATATATTAATTCAGAATTTCTTGAATTATTTCTTTTAATAATCTAAATATTATAAAGTATCTAATAATTATTAATTGTAAAATTTATTATATTAAAATCTTTTTTTCTATATTAGAAAGTTTTTGAAAGGATTTATAAGATTAAGAGTGTAATTATTATTCAGTTATTCGATTTGTTAGAGTTAATTTTGAAATCTTAAAATGAATAGTAATATTTCGAATTGAAATAAACTATTTATTTTTTAGACTTTTTATAGCCTTTTGAATATTATCTTTTGATTTATTATAATTTAATAATTTTTGATTTATTGTATATTAAATAAATATGTAAAATAAAGAAATAAAGGGGTGATTTTGATTTATATTATGATATAACCCACTTCTAGTCAAGTTATATTAGTTTTAGTAATTTCTTTAAATATTTTAATAAAAAAAATAAATAAGGAATATATATTATTAATAATAAATAGTATTTTCAAGATATTAATTATTTCAATTCTAATTTATTAAAAGAATTTAGTAATGGAGATTATACTATTTATTATAGGTCATAGGCTAATAGTATAGTATGGAAGCTGGCTCTGATTAACAATTAAAATGGATTATATAAGCAGTGTGATATGTGATATTAAAGAATCTGTATTAAATAATTATTTCTCTTTTTCTACATTCAAGAGGAAAAAAGCCTCTTTTTATGCTTTTTCCTTCTAATTCAGTATTTCCGTTTTTATAAATCTCTTATAGATTTCTTTTTAATTTATTCATTCTTTCGAAATAAAGCCTTTTTTTATTTTCTTTATTTTTATATCCATTTTCGGATTTATAACCATTTTCGACTTAATAATCATTTTCGGATTAATAATCGCTTTTATAAGCTTATAAGCAACAATCATATGATCTAATTATATAATATACTAATACTAAATTGAATACTACTAAAAAGATATATATATTATATTATTTTTTAATTAAAATAATAGTTCTCTTTAATATGTATCATCTTTTTATATATATATAAATATATATATATTAGTTTTATTAAAAACCTTCTTATTTTTAAAAAAAAAGAGTACTAATTTTTTATATATATATTTTTATTTTAATAATAATAATTATTAAAATTTTGAATCATATCAATAAATCTTGATAATTTGATTCTTTTTAATAACTTAATTAATCCATCAACTAATTGATTTTCTATAAAAATCCATATTAAATCTAAATATCCTTTATTTATAAGATCTTTTATATAATAATATTTAGTATTAATATACTTACTCCTATTATGATATATAGAATTATTTGATATAGTTTTTACCAATATATTATTTGTATATAATAGGAATTTATTTTAATTAAATTGATTTAATTCCTGTAG